CGGGCTCGGCCCTTTTTTTTTTTTTTTTTTTGGTTGGCCTTTCTACTGGCAGTTAAGGTTGTGAACACAGGGTGTTCGTCAGCAGCTGAACTCCAGGGTCCAATCTCCAGCTCTGGGGATGTCAAGAAGAAATTGCTTGAAGGCAGTGGCTGTCCCAGGGTTCAAACACCAGCTTTGTGCGTGTGGACAAGGAGCTGCAGAGGGGGTGGTACTGGGAGCAGGTTTTTGTTTTGTTTTGTTTTTGCGGCTGGCCAGTACGGGGATCTGAACCCATGACCTTGGTGTTATAAGGCTGCGCTCTAACCAACTGAGCTAACCGGCCAGCCCAAGGGAGTAGGTTTTTTGAACTCAATAATTCTGGAAGTGGCTTTCTGATTTGAGCATACATGGTCAGTTCTGTGGAGGTGTTCTAGAAGCTTCCTGGAGGCATGGCCCAGAGCCTGCTCCTCTGGCCCTTCCAGTGATTTTCTAAGCACGTCATTCTCTATATAAAACCCCTTCCTATATCCCATGCTGGCCCTGGACTTAAACATATAATGTATATTGTTTCTAGTCTAGAATTTCGTATTACATCTGATTATTTACTGGACATATGGCTTGCCACAAGCAAACGACTATGTTTAAATACGTGAGAAAGGGTCAACAGTAGGAAGGGAAACTGAGTGGCTGGGGGACAGAGGTGGGAGAAAGCCATACTTTTCACTATAATTTACCTTTTGTGCACCTTCTAATTTTGCACTATGTGTATAGTATACATTAGTGTATATAAAGACAGCTGGACCTCCGATTTGCATAAGCATGGCCTACAGTGCAGTGGAGAACACTGGCCTCAGTCCCATGTGGCCTGTGGCTAGTCATTTCCCAGCTGTGTACTAGATTGTAATACCCCTCCGGAGGGCTGAATAAGGCAATAATGCAAGTAAGTGTTCTGTAAACTTAAAAGCACCTTCGAGAAAGGAGACATGTTAGTTTCTATTTGTGAGCATGTATTATGTCTCAGGTAACGTGTATTAACTCCCAGGAGTCTCCCAGCAACCCTACAAAGTATTGTCACTGTTTACTTCCAAGAAAACTGAGGTCTTAAGAAGTAAAGTAATTGTCCAAGGTTACCAAGGAACCCTGGACCTTTGTTATCAGCACCACGCTCCAGCCAACTGAGCTAACCGGTCAGCCCCAGAGACATTTATCTTAACTGCAATGCTTTATCCAAACAATCACAGAGCACACAGACCATTAGCCAAAACAAAACTAGGATTATTCAAGAGGCAATAACCAGGAGAAAGAAAGGACTGGAAAAAAATGTGTGAGGCTTCCCTCTCTTCCCTTTTATAGTCAAAACTTAACTCATTGCCCACAGGCTGGCTAGCTGCTTTATGTCACCTCTGAGTGTGTTTTTCAAAGCAACTTGAAATTTTTCAACAGCACTACAGAATAGTTGGCTCTCCAATGAGGCCTGTTCATTATATAATGTATTTTTACTGCTGTGATTATTAAAAAAAAAAAAAAAAAAAGGAAAGAAAAAATCACAGAAAACATAATTAAGC